GAGAGAATTACATATATATGCAATTATTTCAATTAATCAACATAATATTATCTCAGTATGCTTTTTTTTGGAGGGGGGGGGAGAGATATGCATATATATGCACTTGTTTTAATTAATCAACCTATTATCCCAGTATGCTTTTTTGGGAAAGGGGGGGGGAGAGAATTACATATATATGCAGTTATTTCAATTAATCAACCTATTATCTCAGTATGCTTCTTTTTTTTTGGGGGGGGGGGTCTTTTCCTTTGGGGGAGAGGGGTAATTTTATTAAGTCATTTCAGTCAGTCAAACGAGTGTTTTTGCTTCTGTTCTCTGTTTTCCCCTGCAAGAGCTTGGGGATATATAACTGACCGTGTAGAATTTTTATCTCAAGATAATGCAGTTGATTTTAATAACATGCATCGCCGTTTATCCACAAAGAACGTCGAGTCATGCCTTTCCTGACTATCATATCTCTTTACATTTTTTATTTTTTTTTTTTGAAATTTTTGAAAAAATGTTACCATGTCAGCTTGGATGGTTAGTGGGTGCTCTATTGTGGTTTGCCCCTTCTTTTCTATCAAACGTCTGTCATCATAATCTTTCCTCCTTCTTGTTTTGTGTTTGTTGCTTTCTTGCAACAACTCTAATCTTCACCTCTTATAATACACCGTAATTGTGTCGTAAGTACCGTAAAACGGTTTACTAACACAGAATGTGTCATTGTCCGCGCCGTGCCCCCTGTCCCCGTCCTGTGTCGGTGTGTTTAGCCCGGTTTAACGCGACAGGCCAGGGGGGGCTTGGGGGTCGGGTATTGATCACAGCCCTACTATGATGACTGATTGGCGTTTCTTTGCTCCTTGTCCCAGTTTCTCGTCGTGGAAATCCGCTTTTAGAAAGCCCTCATCTTAGGGATTTCTTCCTCTGCCTCTGATTAGACGTCATTCTTGGCCCCTCGGGGACCTGGGCTTTGAGGATGGTGGTTGGTGTATTCTTATGTCCGTCTACTGTCGGTTGGCTGTCCAGTCGGTGGTCGGGTGGTTGGAGAGCGCCACTTCGTCTTTTTTTTTTTTTTTTTTTTTTTTTTTTGCTGCCTCTGTTGTTTCTTTCTGTCTGTTATATTTTCTTCGCTACGCTGAATGACCGTTATTGTGTCGATGTGCTTCTTTCTAATCAAACAAAGGAAGAAACAAACTCAGCCGTAGTGGGTGGTTGGAGGGCGCCACTGGTAGGCCCCCCTTCTTTTCTTGCCCTCTGGCTTGTCTGTCTGGCTTACTTTACCCTAGCACTTAATGACCAGTATTGTGTCAATATGCTTCCCTTTACTCAAACTCAAACTCAGTCGGGGGGCTGATTGGTTGGTCTGTAAGTCGCTTGGATGGTCTGCCTGTTTGCCCCCTAGTCTGTCCGTGTGATTGTCTGTCTGTCTTCATTGTCTGTTCCACAGCCAGCTACACCGCATTTGATTCGAAGCAGGTTTTTTCCAAATCTCTCCCAACAAACCGGTTTTGTGGGCGGTTGATAGGTTCTCTGGTGTGGTTTGCTCCTTCTTTCGTATCCAACATCCATCGTACTTATCTCACCTGCCTTCTTTCTGTGTTTGTTGTTCTCTTGTAACGCCTCTAATCTTCGGCACTTACATGACCTAATTCCATCGTAAGTACCGTAAAGCGCTTACTAAAACTTAACTAAAATCGATCTTGTTTCTTTGTCTGTCGGCGTATGCTATAGGTTACCTCCATCCAACAATATATTCTTCAATAGCATGTCCTCTTTTGACACATTAGCCTTTTTTTTAATTGTAATTTTGCCTGTGGTGTCGTTAGTCCAGTGGTTAGACAACCGGAATAGTAACGGCGAGATTTCGGGTTCGGAGCTCGTGGCTCAGCTTGATCGACGTGGGTGGTTGGTGGGTGCTCTGGTGTGGTTTGCTTATTCTTTCCTATCAAACACATATCGTCTTTATCTCCCCTTCTTCTTTTTTATGTCTGTTACTCAATTGTAACACCTCTAATCTTCTGGCGCTTATATGACCTTATGCAGTTGCGAGCGCCGTAAAACCTCTTCTAAAACTAAAACTGATCGATGGTGTGTCCCTGAGAAAAGCATCATGCACGACGAATGTTCTTATTTATTGGCTCTGTCCCCGTGTCTTTGCAGGTGGTTAGAGGATGTGCTCCACTGCTGGGTCCTACGTCTTTACTTTCCCTCTGTTGTGTCCGTCTTGCTTTTCCCCCAACACGAAATGACCCATTTTTGTGTCCATGTGCTTCTGTTTGCTCAAACAAACAAACAAACAAACAAACAAACAAACCCCGTCGGTCTGCTGAGATGCAGCATGCCTCTCAGCCAAGATTGCTTTTGACTAGCAGAGTGGAAACAGCCCTTCTCCTATGTGATCTAAATTTTGACAGGGTTGGCGTAAAACAGTTCAAATCAACCATTACCATCACGTAATGTCAATGAAGCTTTTTTAAAACTGGCTCAAATTCTACCGTATTGTATGTAATTATGTATGACATTGTCGTCTGTTTGGAAATTGAATATCCATTGTAATCTGTTCTTCTGCGTGTTGCGGGTGGTTGGAGGGCGTCACTGGTAGGTCCTATTTCTTTACTTTCCCTTTGTTGTTTTTGTCTGTCTGTCTTACACTTTTTCCCAGCACTGCACTAAATCACCATTATTGTGCTCTTTACTAAAAATATAAAAAAATCGAACGAATAAAGAAATTGTTCTGCATGTTTGTGTATCCAACTATAGCTGTCCCTTTTGTATGGTGGGGTTTTTTGTTGTTGTTGTTTTGTTTGTTTTTTGCCGACGAATGCATGTTTTTTATAGCTAACTCAAAATCTGTTCACTCGTCCTTCAACAGACACTATCAGATCCAGACAGTTCTGAAGACCCCGCCTAAATCGCCGGCCCGTGTGGAAATCAGTGACAATAAAGTCAACGCGCAGCAAGGTGAGTGCTTAATGGGTTTCTCTTGTGTCGTGAAGTAGAGTGGGCCGGAAGAGTGCGTCAACTTCACTTACGCGTTCGTTGTGTCCTCAGTAGGCAGACAGAGAGACTTCCAGATAGATAGATAGACAGACAGACAGACAGACAGAATAGATAGACAGACAGACAGACAGACAGACAGACAGAATAGATAGACAGACAGACAGAATAGATAGATAGATAGACAGACAGACAGACAGACAGACAGACAGACAGACAGACAGACAGACAGACAGGCAGACAGACAGATAGATAGATAGACAGACAGATAGATAGATAGGCAGACAGATAAATAAATAGAGGGACAGACAGATAGATTGAAAGACAAACACATAGAGAGACAGACAGAAAAACGGGTATTTGGGTGGATAGGTAAATGGGAGAAAGGATGGATGCATGAGTGGAAGAATAAACAGAAAGGTAGATAATAAGATATTCCAATGCCATCGAAGCAATAATTTATCAGTGTCGTATCCCATTCAACATGGGTTAGCCTTGACAGGTAAGCCGAAGCAGCCCACTTTCTAAAGATCTAAATTTTAATATCGTCAATGGATGCAGAAAACATTGACAATTCATTTGAGTTGAGCTGTAGTTGACAGTGGGTGA